CTGATGATGAATTTCCCCACAAATCATTATTTATTTATTTCAGGTACTTGTATAGCGCTGTCAATTACGCATTATCACTCAATTCTGCAAGTGGTTCTGATTTACTATCGCTGTTCTCTAGCTGGTCTAAAACCGCTTTTGACCTAAAGGGATGCTCTTTGGACGCCATGGACATTTCTCAGTTTCCAGGCAGAAAGAACAGTAAAAATGCAGGCAGGGCACAGGACCAAGCACTCGGGACAAAATGTATGTGAAATGGTTTGATACAGTAATGTTTTATTATGTGATTTTAGTGTATTTAGTGAATGTCACTTTTTGACATTTTTAAATTTCCCGCCAGTTCCGTCCCCGTACGTCCCAATGTCGCAGGAACCGGAACCCAGAAGACGGATGCCGGCATCGGCCGGAGGACATTGCCTTGGGACGCTGCAGGAGGAACATCGCGGCAGCGCAGGACAAGGTAAGTAAAATAGGTAAAATAGGTGAGCGCACAAACCACAAATGAGCTGCTAGCATAAAAGGATGGACCCCTTAATCCTCAAACAAAACATAAAACAAATATGCAGCACTATGAAATAAAGTGACCAAGTGCAAAAGGTGCAAAAAATTACTGCGCAAGATTAGTGAGACTATATAAATATAATCAACAAAGTGACGAGTGAAAATGTGAATGGATGAGGAAAATCAATTCAATAAAGTGAATCCAGTGGTCAACAATATGATTATAGACCATATACAATAATAAATTCACAATAAAGTGCTCTTAAATCAATAGTCCAGTAAACTCGTGTCTGGATGAAATCAGATGAAGATCGATATAATGCTCCAAATCACAGCAGCACTATTCAGTAACTGAGAAGCAAGAATGTTAAATCAAAAATCCTGTGCTTGTGACTTCTTATGGTGAAGAAATGAGGTGTGCTTGCACTTACCAGAAGCACAAGTTGTATGCGGATATATTAATAATCTCCAAAAAGGACCCTGGTAGTCATCATGGATCTGGTCAGGGACAAAGGGGGGGGGGGGGCTCCACTGGCATTTAACAATGTGGGTATCTTCAAATTTCTTATTCTTCAGGGTGGTATTATCAGAAATACTGCCTGTACCTCAAGCCAGGACAAGGTAAGTGCAGAAGGGATCCCGGAGCGACGCTGCAGGATATTCCCAAGTGTAGCTCGGGGTTACCGCTTGTGGTGCTGAAACTTTACCCTACATTCGGGAATACCGCCAGGGGGGTTAATGACTTGGAGAGGATCTGCCAATAGGAGTGGGCCAAAATCCCTCCTGAGATGTGTACAAACCTGGTGGCCAACTACAGGAAATGTTTGACCTCTGTGATTGCCAACAAGGGATTTGCCACCAAGTACTTTACAACAGCATCCTTCCCCTGTCCTGCCCCGACCTGGCCACGACTGCCTATAACAACTCGCTGTCAGCCGCCCTAGACTCGCTAGCGCCTTTAACCACACGAAACATCAGACCCCGACCGCTTCAGCCCTGTCAGACTGATCACTCCAAAACTCTCAAACAACGCAGTCGTGCGCTGGAGCGACTATGGCGCAAAACCAGATCCCAACTAGCGTACACCCGTTATAAATCTGCCTTCCACACCTACACCTCCTCCCTCCACGCTGCCAAACAAGCCTACTTTCTGACCCTCATCAATACCCTCTCCTCCAATCCTTGCCGGCTCTTCTCTACTTTCAACTCTCTACTCTCTCCGCCCCCACCTCCACCCAGTACCTCACTCACTGCACACGAGATTGCCAATCACTTCAAAAACAAGATTGACACAATTCGCAGGGACATCACCACTGCTCAGACTCCCACCCCACCTATCATCTCTCACACGGTAACCCCTCAACACCCCTCTCCCTTGGCCTCGCCACGGTCCAGACCTCCACCCCACCTAACATCCCTCACACTGAAGCCCCCTCAACACTCCACTCCTTTGACCTCACTACCACTGAGGAGGTCACTAAGGTCTTCTCTGAAGCCCGCCTCCCCACCTGCCCCCTCGACCCTGTCCCCTCACAACTCCTACGATCTCCCTCCTCCTCCATCCTACGCTCCCTCACCCACATCTTTAATCTCTCCCTCTCTTCTGGCACATTCCCCTCCCCTCTGAAGCACGCGCACATCACTTCCATACTTAAAAAGCCCTCCCTGGACCCCACCGACCCGAACAACCTTAGACCCATCTCCCTGCTGCCATTTACATCCAAACGCCTTGAGCGCTTAGTCTATAATCGCCTAAGCTCTCACCTCAATGACAACAACCTCCTCGACCCCCTACAGTCCGGCTTCCGTCCCCTACACTCCGCCGAAAAACAGCCTTACCCAAACTCACCAACGACCTGCTAACCACCAAAGCTAATGGCCACTACTCAGTGCTCCTACTCCTCGACCTCTCTGCAGCTTTCGACACAGTCTACCACCCCTTCCTCCTCAAAAAAATACACTCACTTGGCATCAGAGACTCCGCTCTCTCCTGGCTCTCGTCCTACCTATCACAACGCTCCTTCAGCGTGACCTATATAGCTACCACCTCCCCCTCACTCCCCCTCTCTGTTGGGGTCCCTCAAGGCTCTGTCCTCAGGCCCTTCTCTTCTTCATTTACACCTCCTCCCTTGGCCAACTGATACACTCTCACGGCTTCAACTACCACCTCTATGCCGATGACACGCAAATCTATCTCTCGACCCCTCACCTCACCCCTTCAGTCTCTGCCCGAATCACCAGCCTACTGAACGACATATCAGATTGGATGTCGCTCCACTTCCTTAAACTAAACCTCTCCAAAACCGAGCTCCTAGTTTTCTCCCCAGCCCACGCCCCCCCCCCCCCACTCACTTCTCCATCACGTCCAACAATGCCACCATCAGGCCCACCCCACAAGCCAGAGTACTTGGTGTCATTCTAGAATCCAATCTATCCTTCCAGCCCCAAGTCCAATCGCTAATAAACTCATGCAGACTCCACCTCCGCAACATCTCCAAAATACGCCCATTCCTAACCCCAGAAACCACTAAACAACTCATCCACTCCCTCATCATATCACAACTCGATTACTGCAACTCCCTCCTCACTGGCCTGCCTCACCACAGGCTATCCCCACTTCAGTCTATCCTGAATACGGCGGCCAGACTCATCCACCTCACCAACCGCTCTGTCTCCGCCACCCCCCTCTGCCAATCCCTCCACTGGCTTCCGATTGCCCAACGGATCAAATTCAAAATGCTAACACTGACATACAAAGCTGTCCATAACTCTGCCCCAAACTACATCACCGACCTGATATCCAAATACCACCCAAAATGCACTCTCCGCTACTCACAAGACCTCCTTCTCTCTAGTTCCCTGGTCTCCTCATCCCATGCCCGCCTCCAGGACTTTTCCAGGGCATCACCCATCCTCTGGAACTCATTACCCAAATCCATCAGACTATCACCTACTCTCCTCTCCTTTAGGCGCACCCTGAAAACCCACCTCTTCAGGGAAGCCTACCCTGCCCTCTGCTAATTGCCGATCTCCTCCACTCTTCCTACCACTCCATCCCCCACAGCTATTCCTCCTGTACCACTATCCCCTCCCTCCTAGATTGTCAGCTCCAAGGAGCAGGGCCCTCGAACCCCTCATGTATCACATTGTATTGTTATTGTACTGTCTCATGTATTGTCTCCCATTGTAATGTACAGCGCTGAGCGAACTGTTGGCGCTATATAAACACTGTATAATAATAATACTAAGTCATGTTTTGTGAAGGGGATTAAATACTTATTTCCCTCATGAACATGCAAATCTGTGCATCATTTGTTAGACATGTATTTCTATTGAATTTATTGTTGCTATTCTGTCTCTCAGTGTTACAATACACCTACTATTCGATTTTTAGACTGATAATTTCTTTGAGAGTGGGCCAACATTCAAAATCAGCAGGGGATCAAATACTTATTTCCTTCACTGTATGTGGAGGGATGAATGAAGGGGGGGTATGTGGGGAGGATGAATGGAGGGGAGTATGTGGAGGGGATGAATGGAGGGGAGTATGTGGAGGGGATGAATGGAGGGGAGTATGTGGAGGGGATGAATGGAGGGGAGTATGTGGAGGGGATGAATGGAGGGGAGTTTGGGCTGGGATGAATGGAGGGGAGTTTATGGCTGGGATGAATGGAGGGGAGTGTATGGAGGGGAGTATAAGGAGGGGATGAATGGAGGGGAGTATAAGGAGGGGATGAATGGAGGGTGTATATGGCTGTGATGAATGGAGAAGAGTGTATGGAGGGGATGAATGGAGGGGATTAATGAGGGGGATGAATGGAGGTGAGGGGAGTATATGGAGAGGATGAATGGAGGGGACTATATGGCTGTGATGAATGGAGGGGGAGTGTTTGTAGAGGATGAACGGAGGGGAGTGTATGGAGGAGATGAACGGAGGGGAGTGTATGGAGGGGATGAACGGAGGGGAGAGTATGGAGGGGATGAACGGAGGGGAGAGTATGGAGGGGATGAACGGAGGGGAGAGTATGGAGGGGATGAACGGAGGGGGGAGTGTATGGAGGGGATGAACGGAGGGGAGTGTATGGAGAGGATGAATGGAGGGGAGTATATGGCTGTGATGAATGGAGGGGATGAATGGAGGGGAGTGTATGGAGGGGATGAATGGAGAGGATGAATGGAGGGGAGTGCATGGAGGGGATGAATGGATTGAGAAGGGTTCAGACATTAATACCTGCAGTCTGATTTTTGGACACAAGATGGCGCAGTGAGATGAGCCTATCCATCCTAATCCGGGTACCTTTCAGTCAGGAATAGTTCGGTTTTCTCCCATCTATGTCCCGGTGCCGGTTGGTCCAAGACTACAGCGATATATATATATATTTGTATCTTGTGTCTTCTCGGTGTGTATTTAGAAACACTTGTAACTGCAAATCGGCTTTTTATAGATATCCTGAGGGGTGGCAACGTGCGCGTTCTCGCGTGTGCCGGTTTTGGTGACGTGCGCGGTCCCGGCTCCTCCTTCTCTTCTCGCCATGATCTGTCTGATGCTGACCATCTTCGCGCACATTTTCCCCACAGGTGAGGGGTCGGTGTGGTGGGGCAGGAAGTCGTGGTCCTTCTAGAACGGTACAATGTATGCTCTCTGTACACTGCGGGGCCCATGTGGCTCTCTGCAATGTTGCTTGTGGCATCCGTTGTACTCAGAGCATGATGCTCCTTCTTCTCCTATCCAGGAATTGGGGTCAGTCTGTACATAATAAAGCCATGTATTCATGCTCCATGATGGAAGAATGTAGCCGTAGAGCCGTCCTCGTGGTGCCCTGAGCCCTCTGTATGGTAATGACCCTGTGTAGGGGCGGGCTTTTGACTTCCTTCTATAGGGGGGGCTCCTTGGCCTTGCAGGGTCCCCTGGAGCCCCCCTGACGTGCTCCCCCAGCTGGGACTAAATCTTCACATGGCACTTCCAGCGCTCCTCCTGTGTAACAATAAAAGCAGATCCAAAAACTGGATAATAAGCAGCCAATCAGCTGTCCAGGATCCAGCACCCAGCCAGTTTCACTCTGTGACCTCTCTCCCTGGAGCTGACATCTTTACTGTGGGCACCTGAGTATCATGGGGGGGGTGCCCACTGCACATGCGTGAGCGGTGCTGCACGTTGTGAACGGTCCCTCAGTCTTCTGGGACCCTCCTAGGTGGAAGGGGGGGCCTTCTGCTTCCAATCGCCTAGGTGGGGGGCCCTTCTTCCAATCACCTAGGTGGGGGGCCTTTCTGCTTCCAATCACCTAGGTGGGGGGCCCTTCTGCTTCCAATCACCTAGGTGGGGGGCCCTTCTGCTTCCAATCATCTAGGTGGAGGGGGCCTTCTGCTTCCAATCACCTAGGTGGGGGGCCCTTCTGCTTCCAATCACCTAGGTGGGGGGGCCCTTCTGTTTCCAATCACCTAGGTGGCAGGAGCAGTATCTGTCAAAATCAGGTACCCCCTCCTCCTCCCCATAGCTCCATTTCACAAATAGGAGTGGGGGAGGAGGCCTTAAAGCAGAACTTCCCCTTTTGGGTGCAGCTTTACGGCCACGCTTGGGGGACACGTAGTACGGACTGTGCACAGAAAATCATGGGACATGAAAGGGTTGGATTTCAGGCATTCTTCCCAAATACAACCCCTGACAAGTTTGGAATCACCACTCTTAGAAAATGGTCATTCAGTTGTTTAAACTATTGGCACCAGCACCTCCCGGCCCTTTAAGGGTTCCAAAAGCCGGGAGGCAGGCGGGGTTTTAGGGTCATGTGACCGCTGTGATTCGCTGTCACGGTGGTCACATGATCGGGAAAGGTCCCGATCGAAAGAGGAGATCGGGACCTTTCCATGAGTACTGAACGTGTGTGCTGGGAGCGTGCAGGGTACCCGTTCTCAACCTCTTTTTTTTTTTTAATAGAACGCAAATGTGCGGCTGTTCGGCGTCTAGGCCCAGATGCCGGGAAACCGCACATTAGCCGGGGCCAAAAGGTTAATTGTGCAGAAAAGAAAACCAATCGCAGACAGGCCTCAAAACTATTTCATTGAACATTCCAACCTGTCATATAGCAGAGAGCAGGTAAGTATTTTTTTTAAACAATTGCCTTTAATTATCACTTCAAATGCTGTAAATGGTAAGTGTACAACTAGGACTGGATACACATTATTAACCGTCTGTTTTCTCTATAGCATGGACGGGGATTAATGAGCGCACATTTTTGGCCATAAAGCCAGATGGGTGTCAACGACGTCTGGTAGGAGAGATCATCAGACGATTCGAGAAGAAGGGCTTCAAACTGGTGGCCATGAAGATGATGCAGGTGAGTCAATATCTCAAGTATAAGAGACATTTATCAAAGTGACACAAAGGACTGTCAATGTTCCCATCTAACCAATCAGATTCCAAATTTAATGGTTCCAGTGTTAGAGTGATGATGAAAAATTTAGCATTTTGTTCAAAATTTTTGTTTTAAGAACGTTCGTTTGCTCTTTCAAATGTTAGTGGGATCAAAGCAAAAGTTCATTTTCGACCAGTGATGAGAAATTTGAAGGAGCAGAATCGAAATTTTTTCTAGGTCAAAAAAATTCTGTGATTTTCAGAAAATTACATTCATTCCAAAAAAGAAAATTAAAAGCAAAGTAGATTTTGTAGTACTTTCGAACAACATGTTCCAAATCATTGAATGTACTGAGAATTTTTGTACAGACGTTTGTAGTGTATAGCCAGATTTTAGGGTTTATATGGTAAGAAGCCAGAACTTTGTCTATGACAAGATGGTCGAGTTACAATGCAACTCGAGGAGAGATCATACATAAGCTTTTTTTTTACCTGTTATCAAGAGAGGCAGATTAAATAGACAAGCACTGAAGGAAAGGCGATTACAGTTGCTTCGTGTGAAGGGGTGCAGAATTTAGGGTTGAATTCAGGAGCCAATGTGTAAAATGTAGAAGGCAACAGAAATAGTCTCCTGCTATTTATAGTAAGGACTCATTCACAACATCTTGCATTGAGTTGCACAGATCAATGCAGACTCAGTGCGAGGAAACATAGAAAACAACTGTTTGTTACGAGCCCTGCTCACACCACATAATATGGAGTGGGTTGAGGTGCATTGCATAAAAATTCAGACTTGATGCATTTTTTGCAGCGCACCTCACCTCATGTCAGTACAACTCGCCATAAAGAGATGAATGAATTCTCATTTTAAAACGTTTCAGCAAAGTTTAAAAAAAGGAGAAAAATGGGTAGACCATGCCCTTGTGTTGTAACAATGCAAGGCGTGACCACTACACAACAGACACTAGCCTGCATCCCGAAATGGCCCATTTTAGAGTGTAGGCTGGCATGAATGAGCCCTGTTAGAAGAAGCCTTAAAGTGATTCTAGAAGAAATAATTTTTTTTTATAAGTAACAAACATGTTATACTAGTCTGCTCTGTGCAATGGTTTTGCACAGAGCAGCCCCCATCCTCTTTTTTGTTGGGTCCCCCGCTGGTGGTCTTGACTCCTCCTTTCTGCCGAATGCCCCCAGCAGAAAGCTTCCTGCTATGGGAGCACTTGAGCTGGCTTGTTCCCGAATCGCGCTCCGTGTGTAAATTCACACATGGAGCGTGGCTCAGGTCCTGCTCTCTCCTCATTGGCTCACTGGCTCTGATTGACTGCAGCAGGACCCAATGGCTCCTGTTGCTGTGTGAGCTGATGAGAGAGAGACCCAGGAGAGCCGTTGCTCTCATACAAATCACTGGATGTAGATAAGGCCCGGGTAAGTATAAGAGGAGTAATTGATATTAAAATCTGTGTTTAAATGCCACATCCCTAATATTGTGAATACCATATTTTTCGCTCCATAAGACGCACTTTTTCCCGCAAAAAAGGGGGGGAAAATATCAGTGCGTCTTATGGAGTGAATATACAGTAAAGCGGTCGGTCCGGTATTTCCGCCGCCACCATGTCAGAATACCGGGCCGGCCGCTCAGCTGTTCTTACCTGTTCCTCGGTCCAGCGCTGCGGTCTTCCCGCGCCGGCTTCTTCCCGCAGCTGGCTTCTTCATCTTCTGACAGCTGGGTGCCCACTGCGCATGCGCCAGAAGCGCTGCGCTTTGTGAATGGTCCGGCGTCTCATGACAGGTCCCAGAAGACGCCGGGCCATTCACAAAGCGCAGCGCTTCTTGCACATGCGCAGTGGGCACCCGGCTGTCACAGATGCCGGGGCGGGAAGAAGCCGGGTGCCCACAGTAAAGGGAGGACAGCTCCGCGAAAGTGGGAGCGGGTACCTGTCAAATTCAGGTACCCACTCCCCCTCCCTCCCTAAAGGTCCGCAGTGTCTGGTCATGCCCTGCACTGTCTGCAGTCTCTGGTCATCTCCTGTACCGTGTCCGCAGTCCCTGGTCATCTCCTGTACCGTGTCCGCAGTCTCTGGTCATCTCCTGTACCGTGTCCGCAGTCTCTGGTCATCTCCTGTACCGTGTCCGCAGTCTCTGGTCATCTCCTGTACCGTGTCCGCAGTCTCTGGTCATCTCCTGTACCGTGTCCGCAGTCTCTGGTCATCTCCTGTACCGTGTCCGCAGTCTCTGGTCATCTCCTGTACTGTGTCCGCAGTCTCTGGCCATCTCCTGTACCGTGTCCGCAGTCTCTGGTCATCTCCTGTACCGTGTCCACAGTCTCTGGTCATCTCCTGTACTGTGTCCGCAGTCTCTGGTCATCTCCTGTACTGTGTCCGCAATCTCTGGTCATCTCCTCTACTGTGTCCGCAGTCTCTGGTCATTCCCTGAACTGTGTCCGCAGTCCCTGGTCATTCCCTGAACTGTGTCCGCAGTCTCTGGTCATCTCCTGTACTGTGTCCGCAGTCTCTGGTCATCTCCTGTACTATGTCTGCAGTCAATTGGTTCAGAATATTTATTTTCTTGTTTTTCTCCTGTAAAACCTAGGCGCGTCTTATGGTCAGGTGCGTCTTATGGAGTGAAAAATACGGTATATACCAACGAAAAAAGAGAGACCTGAAAATGTGTAGAAAATGAAAAGTTTACAATATCAAGGAGCAGCAAATCTCTTTTCATGTAATCCAAATTCTTTGTAAACTTTGGGTTCATTCTTATCGGCTTGGGCTCAATGCGTTTCATGGACATAATCCACTTCTTCAGAAGCCATCACCATATAGACATTTGACTACTGATATAAGAACAAATACAAACAAAATATCACAAAAACATATTTTTTTCATTCTGGCATAATAGAGCATCATATTGTAAGTGCACCAGAAAAGGGGAGAGAAAACAAAAAGGAGGAGAGGAGCAGTACTCCCTGGAAACCCAAAGAGGGGAAGGAGAGGGTGCAAGCCACATAATGTACCCATAAATATATACATACATCAAGACCTATAAATGAAAAGTTACCTCCAAAAATAGGTGGCTTCAAATATGTATGTACTTTAGAGCTGTATCTATGACTTTTTTCTTATTTTCACACAGGCATCAGAGGCACTGTTAAAGGAGCATTACTTCGACCTTCGAGACCGTCCATTCTATGGCCGCCTTGTGAAATATATGGGCTCTGGACCGGTGATTGCCATGGTGAGAACTAAAGAACCCCATTATTGCACATTCGCACCTCAGTTTACCATTGTCTTGGTATATTTTATTGAACAGGAAATGTGATTTTTTTTTTTTTTCTTAACCACTTCCAGTCCGGACACTTTTACCCCCTTCCTGTCCAGGCCAATTTTCAGCTTTCAGTGCTATCACACTTTGAATGACAATTGCACAGTCAGTCATGCAACACTGTACCCATATGAATTTTTTAGCATTTTTTTGAGACAGATAAAGCTTTATTTCTGTGGTATTTATTCACCACTGGGATTTTTTTATTTTTTTTTCTATGTAAATGAAAAAGTCAAAAAATTTTGAAAAAAAGTGTTTTTCTTATAAAATTTTGCAAATAAATAATATTTCATCATAAATCTTGGCCAAAATTTATTCCGTTTTATCTTTTTAGTAAAAAAAAAAAAAAAAAAAAACACAAATTAGTTTGTAACCAAAAATTATAATTTTTAAACATTTTGTTTTTTACATTTTTTTTTATTTTTTTATATTATTATTTTTTTTTTTTACATACTGTCACCCTAGTAGTACAGTGTCACCGTACTACTTGTGGGGGGGGTGATGAAGATTTTTTTTTTTTTACACTGATTGCTTTTTCACCCATAAAAGCTGTAAAAGCAATAATTTCTCCTTCTCTCTAGCTGCATTCTTCCAGCCATTGATAACTACTGTGTGAGCTGTGATTGGTCACAGCTTGTCACATGGTACAAGGCTGTTGTGAATAGCCTTGTACCATGTGACCTCTGTGATCATTCACAGATTTCACATGTAGTAAGCAATGATGTCAGAAGTGACATCTTGCTTACTACTCTGCATGTGATCACTGATTGGCCAATCAGTGATCACATGATCGAGACCTCGCACAGAGGTCCCGTCCGACGATCGGTGTTCCACTGTGTCCGGAGGACACAGCGGGCACCGGATCGCGGTTCTGCGCGCTCCCACGGAGCGCACACAAGCAGGGTGCGGGGAGGCCGTTTATAAATGGCCACCTGACCCTGCACTGCCACTGTCTGGTCGTTTATATACAACGGCCGGACGGGTGGTGGTTAATTACCTGTTGATTGTGTCACCAAATTCAGAGCTTTTCTGTATTATCTCAGGGAGTCTTCCCATTTCTTATTGTGTTCTACAATACAGATACTGCCTATGATGTGGAGATGAGGGGAGGGATTTAGTAGTTTTTACCAACAAATACAGGGCAGGGCTGAAAGAATTTCTTGCAATTTCAATCCAAAAAAAGAACAAGGAGTGCATTTCTCGCAGATCAACGGTTATTTGTCTATACTTGCAGGGTCTGTAAAGTGATAAAATATGGGGAAATATATGTTATTGCAGAGATGTACTGCATATGTTTATTTTATTATTTTGCTCTGACATACATGTTAAACATGACATTTCCAATCCTTTGTTTTTAAATACAGTGTCCTGTCCTATTTCCTTGCTGTTTAAACCTTGCTCAAACAGCTACCTGGCTTGATATTATAAATAAACCAATAAAAGCTGGAGCTTCCTGAGCCCCCACATGATAGCAGCATAGGCTGTTCCTCAGCTTCTATAATACGCTGTCAGATATTGGATAACCATTAAAATGCCATATTCACCAAAGTGTCTGCAAGAACGCAATTTTCTCTAAGAGATTAAATATACCCTAATAGAGTGTTATAGGAAGGGAAATTTTAGTACAAGGGCAATTATTGTTTGTTCACATTTCTCCTGTCCAGCTCGTTCTAAGTCTACACAGCAGACAAAGTTTTACTAGGCAGTACATACCAAGTCTACATTTGAAGGGCAGACTGGTCCTGACACTGATGCTTCTCTTAGCTTGCAGATCTCTCTGGCCGCTAGCCTTGCCTTCAGTCCCGCAATGGTGATAGTACAGCTCTTCTCCTCTTTCCGCCTATTCAATGCACAGCCTTTCCTACAGTGCTGCCTTATCTCCACAGCTCTTCCACCCTTAGGTCGCAGCCCTCTTGCAGCCGCTAATCTGTCCTGGAGCCTTCCCCTTACAACTCTTCTGCCCTTAGACTGGAGTCCCCACCATCCTTACAAAACACAGTAAAGAGCGCTGCTCCTTGTGCAATAAAATAAATCACATTTTATTAAACAAAAGATTACTACTTACAAGTGTAGTACTGACAAACTTCTGATATAAAGGGGTATACTTCCACAGGTCTTTTTTTGTCCAAGGCCAGCACCCGAAAACAGACTGCTAACTGGAAAAACTCTCTCTCCTATTACACTGCTACTACTAACCCAACACGTTACCCTGTTTCTGCTGTGAAGAAATAGCTCTTTGTTAGATCATGTCTTGTGCAGTGTGGTTCTGAATGGAAGTGGCCTTGTATTAATTTACACCAGTGGTCTCCCAAATTTTCTGAATACAGGGCCAGTTTACTGTCCTTCAGACCTTGAGGGGGCCGGACTGCGGCCAGTGGGAGTAGAAAATCTCTTGCCGTGAATGAGAGTAAAGAATGCCCCAACGTTGGTGTCAGTGGGAGAAATAGTGCCTAGGGTTGCCACCTCATCCCTTTAATTCCGAACTCATATTAATTACACAGGTTCTGTGGCTGATTAAGGTGGTAGTTAAACTCATCTAGTGCCTTATCTGCATTAAATTAGCCTCAGAACCTGTGTAATTAATATGTGTTTAGTTTTAAAGTAATGAGGTGGCAACCCTAATAGTGCCCCATCATTAATGTCAGTGAGAGGAATAGTGTCCAATTGTTGGTATCAGTGACAGGAATCATGCCCCATTGCTGGTGTAGAAGGAATAGTTCCTTGTATCAGTGGAAAAAAAAGTGTCCCAAGGGCTTGATAAAAGCAAGAAAAGGGCCACATCCGGCCCTCGGGTCGTAGATTGGAGACCACTGATTTACACTATACTTAGAATAACATTATATTAGTGTTCCTGAAGACCCTTTGGGGTTGATTTACTTAAACTAGTGAGTGCAAAATCTGGTGCAGCTGTGCATGGCAGCCAATCAGCATCTGACTCCAGCTTGTTCAATTAAGCTTTGACAAAAAAAAAATGAAAGCTGATTGGTTTCTATGAAGAGCTTAAAACTAAAACTCTTCAGTTTTAGTAAATAAAGCCCTTCCTGTCCTGATCATCTTTTAGGTCATATAAGCATTTCTGAAATAGTTTTTCATCCACTTTGCAATTCACCAAGTATACAAAGTATGATGTGATTTATATTAGATTTGTGTGTGTATTAATGCTTCATGGTTTTTGCAGGTCTGGCAGGGGCTGGACATAGTGAAGACTGCTCGTCTCATGATGGGGGAGACCAACCCAGCTGATTCCCTGCCTGGTACTATCCGAGGGGATTTCTGTATAGATGTCAGCAGGTAAGCTACCTCGAGAGATCCTCTATATTTTCAGGACCCTTGCACAGAGGGTTCCTGTCTTCACACAGCTCCCAGGTGGGAATTCCTCCCCTACTAAATAGCCTTTGACAGTGCTCGGAGTTCATATTTTTTTTTTTGTCAAAATACAGTGTTTTGTGTAATTCGCTTTAGAGGATCTTGAATCCTTTATCTGCATTTGTCGTACAGCTGTGTGATTCCCAGCTTTCCTAAATTCAAGATTATTACAGATGGAAATCATGCCCAGATTCATTTGGCTGTACCCATGTCCATCCAAACAGCTGTCATGTTCATTTACTACAAGCCTTTCTATCAGATTGGGATGTATGGAGTAGAAATGACTTCTCACAATGGTAGACTGAAAGCTAATCCAGAACAGGACACCAAAAAGATGCATAGAGTGGACAATGGCTTTCTCTGGCTGCTCTGATGACTGTTTATCGATTACTACTTAAAGGCTCAGAGTACTGGGAAAGCTGTCAGTTGTCCTCTGATTGTTTTTCTTTCACACCAGTTTACATCTATTGGAAACTCCCTGTCAGGCTGTGTTTTTCTATAAGGGATTGGTCTGCCAGTACTTTGGGTAGCAGGGTTAGTGGGGGCAGCACCAAGTCTTACAATTTATAGACTGTGATGATTTGTCCTAATTTTGTTTCTCACTTTTTGTCCACTTATTGACATTTGTGGCTAAATTCTGCAGAAAACTGTAGGGTGAATGGGGTGCAGGAGATGTTGACAGGAGTCAGAAGGCTCTTTATTGCCTTTGACACATCTCTCACTTGTTGTTTTTTTTGGAGCTCTATACAGGTAAAATGTAACCCAGCATGTAAAGCAGACAGCATGCTTCCACCAACAGTACATTCTAGCATTCATGATTACTAAAATAACCGCATGACGCAAGGCTGGAATTTTACAAAAGAGGCTGGGGCAGAGCATGGTGATTAGAGTTTTTTTTTACTTTCCCCTGGTTTCACTTGCTGCATATTTTAATTGGGTCATTGACAACTGAACTTTTATTCTAAATCCGCTAAATACATTCCAGGTGCTTTAAAACAGAAATTGTTCAATGTCTTACAGATTTGTTTTCTTTAGAAAGCAGTTACAGCATGAGTAAATAAGCCTGTTCTCTGCCAGCATGCTGCATAGGAGAGTAGATAAAATTAATATCTATATTATTAAAAATGCGCCGTTCAGGATATATTCTACAGAGCAGCAGCTGGTGACGTCACCAGTGCATGCACTCTGAAGGAACGGCATGCCATGTAATTTTTTCAGAGCTGTGTGCTGTGGCCGAAACTCCCATGTGCATGCACGGGAGCGACGTCATTGACAGCTCAGCCATTCAAACAGCTGCAACCTGGGAACCGGGAAAAGAGAACGGGTGAAGATGAAAGCCCTGCTAGCGGTGACAGCGCTCTGCTGGAGGGCTTTGTTTAAATATAGGTTTCACATAATGTGCTAGTATACAATACATTCTAGTACATTATGATACTACCTTGCAGGGGGAAGCTTTTTTTTTTTTCTTTAACAAGTTTACTAGCGCTTTAAATAAGTCTGTAATGTCCTCTTTTCAATCTGCAAATATCCTGCTCCTTACTGGTTGGAATGCTCTAGATCTGACTCAGCAGGGAATTGTGGGACATTTGTAGTGAGACCACTGCTTCCACAAAGACAGTAAGTGTTCTTCTCTATAGCATGCTTTCTAGGGTAAGGCTGTTCTATTCAGGATGTACCTGTTTTTAAATAAAAACTTGAAGAATTTGCACAAGATTTTCATGTACCAGTAATGTATAATATACCTGCAATCAGCCGATTTAAACTGAAAATTGAGTTGGGCTTTAAATGGAGGTCAATAGTGGCAACCTCTAGTACAGGGTTCATTTAAAAGAGACGTATGGCCAAAAGTGTTTGAGGGTAACAGGAGTGCACTTACGTTTGCTCTCTTAAGACCCAGAATAAGCCAACAGTGGGCTACGGGACAGCGGTGACTGACAGTCACTGCTCTCTGCAGACAGAACTGAGCGATCAGTGGTCCTGTGATTGTCAGTTCTCGGGCTTAAAGCCAACATGGGACAGCTGGAGCATCACAACAATTTGTTTATATTTTTTTTTTAATTGCCAAACTTCTTTAAATGTTCTCCTTCTTTTGCTTTTTTTTACTGTTTAGGCTACATTCACACATGTGCATCTTAAGTCGTAGGCAGAATCGCCGCAATTCTGCCCTCAAATTCAAGACTTTGCTAAAATGACATAGTGTGGAACCGTGTGTTCAGATACAATTCATTTTAATGGCACTTGATAACATGGTGCAGTTCCGCTGCAGAATATATTGCGCTGCAATTGCGGCAAACCGCATCGCACGAAGCGTGTTGCCCCAAAGAAGTTCCTGCACTTCTTTCGGTAAACACACTTCATGCGATGCTGTTGTCCGTGATTGCAGCAAGATTTAGCGTGTGACAATTGCAGCAGAACGGCACCGCGTTTTCAGGTGCCATTAAAATGAATGCCACTGGAATATGTAGTTCCGCAATTTGTTATTATAGCAGATTGTATTGAAATCGATTTAAAATGCCCATGTGTGAATTCAGCCTTAGAGAAAATTACTGATATTATTAGGGATGTTTTGCAGTATTGTAAGCAGTCCTCTCTGACATCCCACCCCTTTCTGATGCATCAGTCTAGTTGGGAATGCTTTACCTGTTTTTTTATTATTCCTCCAGGAATGTCATACATGGAAGTGACTCCACAGAGAGTGCTCAGCGTGAGATTGCCCTGTGGTTTAAGGATGATGAGCTGATCTGCTGGGATCACAGTGCTGAGAGCTGGATCTATGAATAATCCATTAAGGAATAGAGAAGCTGTTACAGAGTATGAAGTGGATTGACCTCATTGGGAATAACAAAAAAAAAGTGTAAAAACTTGAATGTAAGGCAAACTAAGGGGTTACAATGTGTAAATTGGTTACTGGGGGGCATCTGCAAACACTAAATCTTTCCGTCCAATCAGCATTCAAGGTAGTTTTTGCCACCTTGTGTACCTCCAGCTCTCATATTAATACAGAGCTTTAATCCTTTCTTGTAAGGGATAAAAAATTAATTTAAATGTTACATGTGCAAAAAGACGCTACATAGCACTGTTATTTGCTGGAATTAATAAAGTTTACAGGGGTTAGTTCTGCTGATTGCCCCCACTTACACCAATAGCAGTGACTTGTTGGCAATATGAACATAAGGAAAATCAGTGCAGCTTTAGCCTTTTTGACCTACAAATAATACTGTGGTTTTCTTTAAATAAGGAAACTGGGATCATAAAATGTCTCAGTGCCGGAATGACATCTGTAAACTTGAATATTTTTGAATGTATTTGTTGAAGTGCTTTTGAAACCACAGACCCTTGTATGAGATTTATGACTGTTAAACATGTGATAGCCCAGCCGGCTGGGACTTGTTGTAGGTCCATGTGTTGCCCCATTCTCAACAATATCACAAAACTACTGTCATTTCTATGAAAGTAGACTTGCAGCAGAATACCACTACTCTTGAACAGCCACCCACTGGTACCCAACTTTGTTGCACCCCCTCATCCAGTTGTGTGGTGGAGTCTGGTGCTTGGGAGTTTGGTGGAGTATGTGATGTGATCCTCTAAGGCAGCACACACATGATTAATTTTCTTTTGTTCAACCAGCAAGTTGAACAAATTTATCGATTCCCCATCCACACATTCCAGGTGGATGAGGGAATACCTCCTGTGAAGCTGTTGTATTCTGACAGCGTGGAGGCTTCCCCGCTGTCAGAATACATTCATCAGCACCACTGGCTATAGCTGGCGGCACTAATGAAGTGAAAAATTTCCAACAGGCTGGTTGTACAGAAGTCGATTGAAAGATCAACTTCTGTACAACCAGCCTGCCCATAGATGAATCAAAATTTCGATCCATCTGTGGCCGGCTTAATTCCTCTAGGATTCAGTGTTCTGACCTGAGCTACCTGGGCTGTCTTCATGGCCTGAACACTATAAGACAGGGAAGGGATCACAACATAATCCCTGTTTAAACTTGGACACAAATTGAGATGGAACTTGTGACTCCCAACAGGAAAACAAAGCAATGGGAATATTGAGTATCAGTAGGTTGGAGTTGAGTTCCCAAGAGAACCCTTCTCTTTACTATTTTAAAGTGGTACTTCTTTCTGGTAAAGCAACCAGCAGCTAAAAACCTTTTATTAACCATTTATTATATTAGTTTTAAGAAGCATTAGATCTTCTGTCTTGTTTGTGATCTCCACCCATTGCAGGGATTTCCTTCACCTTTTCTACTTCTACAGACATTGTTCAGGAAGGGAATAGTGGGGAAAGTCTCAGCATTTGGGTCACCGATAGCAATAAAAACCCAACAAGAAGTTCTAACATCACAGTCTTAGGAACTAAAAGAAAAAAAGAATAGCTGGAGTTGCACTGTAAACGAAGCCCTGAAATACCTGCCAGTAGAGCAACACTCCCTAAAGTGTTGGTTTCTGCACAGACTGCAGGAGGAAACTCATCATCGATGGAGTTGTGTTCAGTGGTTCAGGAAGCCGGAAAGGTATTTACTTTTCTTTCCAGCTACAGCTTTTGTTCATACTTATATTTAAAGGCAAGTCCACCTTTACAAACATGTTACATGTTACACCCATATGTAGAATGCAACATGTTCCTAAGCACCCTTATACCACCTCCAATGCCCCCCCCCCCCCCCACCGTGACATCAGACAGGGGTTCTTCTCCCCCGCAGCCACTGTCACATTTAAAATTGGTGCTGCTGTGCGGGGGGTTCTGCCCACACAACTCATTCATTCACAGCGATACACTTGTAGTCCATCTAATCTTCCTCCAGCTTTCTACCTGAAAGCCCATACAGTAATACAGGCAGAAATTTGGGGGTAGAGTGTGCAGGAACCTAATATTGCACCTTCAATCCACTGATTGTGGGTGCAATGCTTTGTAGGCTTCTGTGGAAAAAAATAATAAATGCACATTTTTCTCCCTGCAAAATATATGTATTTGGTTTTTTTTTTTTCCTATAGGTGAACTTAGCCTTTAAGGGCAGTCGCTTTAAAGGGGAACTCCAGACTGTGTTGGACCCATCATTATCTTTTTGTTAATGTCTGCGTCCCAATTGGAGATTTTTCCTCACTCCATGTGCTCAGTGAGATTGTTACTGAGACAGGAAGGGAAACATGGACATCAGTGAAAACCTGATGGAGGTTCTAACCCCTCTTACTCTATTCAAAAAATGGCTAGAGTGACAAAGTTAATAACCACAGAAAAGGTCTGAAGAAAATGGAAATCTGCTGTCATTTTACTTATTCATGTCAACAGGCATTCTAGTTAAATGCTGCATTTTGTATTCAAACCCATGCGGATGCATTTAAATGGAAAACACCAGGTTTGACAAGAAAAGGCTGCATTTGAACTTCTTTGCTTGCTTGTGAAAAAAGTGTGTATGTCTACAGATTGTATGGGCGGGAATGGGTTAACATAACAAAAGTGCATATACACTGTTTACAGGGATAATGATTGTTTTCTTTTTTCTGCCATTTTGCCCCATTTTATAATAAAATCTGTTCCAGGAAGCATTCCACTTGTGTGTAATTTCTTTTGGTATCCCATGAAAGAGTATAACAATACATGTTATGACAAGAAAGGATTAAAAAAAGGCCATAGATTATTATTTTTTTTTTTCCAATCAACCCTTGGGTTGAGTGAAAAAAAAAATGACTTGATTCCCCTATCCACACACTCAATGTGGATGGGGGAATCCTTACCGCTGAGATATTGTATTCTGACAGCGGGGAGACTTCCCTGCTGTCAGAATGCACTGATCAGCGCTGCTGGCTATAGCCTGTGTCGTTCATCAAGCACAGAAAATACAACAGGCTGGTTGTACAGAAGTTAATTGAATTCTGTACAGCCAGCCTGCCCATACGTGGATCAAAATTCATACAGTTCCTGCTGAATTGTTTGACTTTAGATCCATGTATGGCCGGCTTAAAGCAATCTAAAAGCCCTCCAACCGAATCAGTGCATAGCACAGTAAAGACTTCTTAGCCCTTTAACTGCCACCACCATATGTCACAACAGGGGTTTTACATACACTGTGTACACTCCATAAGTCTGCCTTTCACACAGGAACCCTTAAAATACCTTTCTGGTCCCAGGTAACCCCTGCTAAAAATGATTCTATTTACCACTCCTAAAATATTAGTATGATGGTCAGTGGGAAGAATGCTCCTTACACTTGTGGTCATTGGGAAGAATTACCCCCTTACAGATAGCTAGAAAGATCAGTGGTGTCATTGGGAGCTTATCCAAGAGGCATAACTTGCTCAAGTAACCTCTGGAGGAACCCTAGTTGAGAAACCGTGCCATAAGTTGACTGTCAGCTTTCTGATGGAAGTGAAACAGCGTCTGTACAGCAAAATTGTGAGCTGCCTCCAAGTAGGCGCACACGGAACATAAACACCTAAAAGGGGCACCTATGTACAAAAACACTGCTTGCACTACTTGTGTTACATATGGCTACAAGCACCAAAGTGACTAATAATTCTAGAGCCCATATTGATAGTTAACTCTAAAGTGAGGCCTTTTAGGGGCTTTAAAAGCATCACCTATGGAAAATCTAGGGTGTTGAAGTTTGTCACAGTCTGGTGGCCATGCACAATCTGACATGTTTGGAAGCTATATACGCAGTAGCTTCATCTTTTTTTATTTTACCCAAAAAAAGGTAATATTTTGTATTTGTGTGCCCGTAAATTACCTTTAGTGTATTTTCTACTGAAAGTTTGAGTAACATAACGTGACAAAAAAAAAATTGGAACTGCCACCATTTTATTCTTCAGGGTGTCTGCTTTCAGAAAATGTTTGGGGGTTTTAACTAATCTCCGGGCCTTAACCTCTTCATGCCGGCCAAACGCAATTGTGCAGCCTCCCGGCATCTGGGCCTAGACGCCGAGCGGCCGCACATTTGCGTTCTATTAAAAAAAAAGACATATGTGCTGAGAGTGCGCGCTCCCAGCACACATGTCCGGTACTCACGGAAAGGTCCCAATCTCCTCTTTCAATCGGGACCTTTCCCAATCATGTGACCGCCGTCATGGCGGTCACATGACCCTAAACCCCGCCCCGCCTCCCAGCTTCTGAAACCCTTAAAGGGCCGGGAGGGCGCCCGCGCTAAGGGGTTCAAGTTGTTTTTTAAAACGCGTGAAAAAAAAAAACCCCTGCAAAAATGGCTCTGGCAGCAAAAGGGTTAAAACGGTATTCACATGTCTCATTCCATCACATATCCCGAATACAGAAGGATTATTCCTCATTTCAGGACACTGGGCAGAGCTGTGCAAATCATTGCTTTACACTCCATCTGCTAGATGCAAATCTAGAACTGGAGGAGTATAGCGCAAATATAGCCTAATATTATAGAGCCATTTATTCCAAACTGCATAGAGCTGTTTCAGGTTATTTGTCCATCATCAGTGTGTCAGGGCCCAAAGAGACAAGACAACCATTCCTGGGTCCCTAAACAGTAGCAACACAAGGGAGAGAGATGGAGCACACATGGGTTCAGCCTATGATGTCATTTTGTAATACATTTATTACATACATAACAATTACATGGTGTTCATGTCACAAGGGGGAGAGCGAGAAAGCAGAGAGCATTATTGATACAGCTGTCTTTACATAATGCCACCAATAAAACCAGAGGACAGACAACACACACTGCGGAGTTTACAAGCCTTATTGAAGAGACACGTCGGAGCGCCCCCTTGTGACACTCTCTTTACATACATCACCGCTGTAGGTAGAAT